ACACGTCATGTCTCTATCAACTCATCACCGACTAATATTGAACATCAGATGAACCACGCCATATAAAAAACAATACCTTCGTTCTAATATATAAGAGTAATCTGATAAGAACATTTCAATAAACTGCATAACATTGTAAATTATTGTAATTCGAGTTTTAAATTTACCAATCTAATTTATACCTGAGGACGGTTAAATATAACCGAAACATGTAAAAAACGTTCCAATTTTTAAATCGATCATTCGATGCGGAACGTGAAATGATATTTTAAATATTTTATATTTAATTATCTTATTAAAATTGTGATTTGACGGAAAATATTAAAATATTAACCTAATTCACAATATGACGCAAATATACTACCTTATGAAATTAACTTATATTTTTCACGACAGTTGACTGCAGACCTTCCAATACAGTTGTTAAGATCGGACGAAATTAATGTGAATATGGAGATAATGGTAACATTCTACGAGGTCTTGTCAACCTAATGCAAATTTCAGGATGTAGGCTAAATTTTAATACAACGGCAATATAAAATTTGCAACAATTCCTTACATTAAATATTCATGTTCTGAAAGTAATAATTTCTGCCTTCGCCTCTTATCAAAAAACAACGACGCCGAACTTGGCTCTTTCCCCAGCGTCCTAAGGTAGTGACGTAAGGATGCCTTGTTTCCTTTAACCAAATCTATGCCCGAAACGTCTAGACTAACTCTCTGCCTGTTTGAGTTTCCTAAAGAGTCATATCGATCTGTATATTTGAACTCTCATTACAATAAGACTATATGTAATTGAAAATACGAATTCATAGGCCTATATTTAAAAAGTACGTATTTATAAACTCAATTGTGGACAAAAAGAACCGAACGTAACAATAATGAGTGAACTTGCCATCTCCTACTACATAAAAAATATTGTTTGAGAATGTCTCTGATACCTCCATGCTTCATTCGCCATAAGATACTCGTGTGTGGGTGGTTTTTTAACACTTAAACTTGAGACGACATAAAATTCTAAAAACAAAGCTTGGACGAAAATAATTGCTGAATTTTAAACAATAATTGCCTTATATTTCCTTCAATTTTAGCTACGAAAGGAAGTGTATGTTTTCCTCAGATATCAAAGTTGTGTAACCCAGACTAATCGTTTGAAAACTGGCGTGTGGTGGGCTAGAAATAAGGTCGTGTGACTTTCCTTCTTTCGCATAATCTAACGATAACAATGTAAAATTACGTCATGCCTCAACTTTCAAACACCCTTGTCCTATTTTCCCAATTACATGTGTAGCAGTCAGTGTTACCAACTGTCTGGTTTTCGGGTGAAATATAGAGTATCTGATTCGGCGATGATTTTACAGTATGAATATGATAGTCTTTTCGAAATAATCGCTTTGTTCTTATGAAGAACGACTTTGGTTCTACAAATGCTCATTTCGCAATATTTCACAATCACTAACCAACAATTACCAACAAACTCGACGTATGACTAAAAATAGACGCGGATCTGACCCGCACATTTTAACAGATACAGGTGTTAAAATGGTTGGCTTTACTTTTAATTTATCTTCGTTTGTTCGAGTGTTGCCTTAGCAGCAAAAGGCTCTTAGGATCAATTTCCTTTGTAATTTGAAAGTTAATATTAGTCGTGCAGTGACCACTGACAAATAATTCACACCTATTTAGTTAATCTTCATATAAAAATACAGGTTTTAAATTCCGTCTTTAATCCCGAAATATGAATAATTCTCATGCCCACCCAAAGACAAAAGTGAAACCAATATCACTTTAATGAAGAGTGACTACTAAAGGAGATATTGTAAACTGTGCTGTGATAAGTTTTACTGTGAAATATTATTACGTAAAAGCGACAATACGTCATGACAAAAGTCATATTAGCTGAGTGAGGGCAAATTTACGAATGTAAGACTTGAGGTTCTCACAGCGGTGAGTATGAAGATTTCCGTCTTCTGGGTTGTTGCGCTGTGTAGTCTGGTCGATGTTAACCAACGTTTCAGAGGTCATACTGCCTCCGTCATCAGGGCGATGAATATGCCAATAGGGTGTGAGGAGTTGGATTTTATAGGCAGGGAAGTGAAAGGTGTAGCCTGCCCC